TTATTCTGTATGCTTTCAAAAAAATTGTTGCTGTTTGCTTTTTACTTTCGTGTTATAACTAGATTTTAATTTATACTTCAATATTAACTTTTTTTACAGATGCCGGAAGAAACAGCAGTACTATCGCATGACCCAGGAGCGTGGCCCGTTGACATTTCTAGGAATGATTCAGACATCCTCGTCCGAAGAGGACCAAAACAAATTATTATGGACTTTCCGGTGAACAAAAATGGTCGTCGATTCACTGTCAACTGTTACCGTAGACGCATGGCCAATGGAGAGGAGGTATCACGTTCTTGGTTGATTTATTCAGTATCAAAAGACGCCATATATTGCTTTTGTTGCAGAATTTTTAGTAAAGTTAGACTTTCACTGTCTTCTGAAATAGGCTTTAACGATTGGAAACATATGTCAGAACTTTTAACTGAACACGAAAGGTCCCCAGGGCATATGAAGGCTTTTCAGTCTTGGAAGGAATGTTCCTTGAGGTTGGAAATGGGAAAAACCATCGATGCAGAACATCAAAAAATGATTCAGGCTGAAGTGGGACGATGGCAAGAGGTACTAAAACGTATAATCATTTTTATACAATTTCTTGGCTCGCAGAACTTAGCTTTTCGGGGATCGTCAGACCAACTGTACGTTAGAGAAAATGGAAACTTCTTAAAACTTGTTGAGTTTGTTGGAAAATTTGATCCTGTGATCGCAGAACACATGAGGAAAATTACATGCAAGGAATCCTATGTTCACTATTTAGGGAAAAATATCCAAAATGAGATTATAGAACAGTTAGGCTCGTTGATTCGTGACCAGATTCTGAGCGAGGTGCAAAAGTCTAAGTACTATTCGGTAATTTTAGATTGCACACCAGACGTAAGCCGAACGGAGCAGATGACTTTGGTATTGCGTTATGTGCTATGTGATGAAGGAAAATACCCAGAGGTAAAAGAACGTTTTTTGTGCTTTATACCGATTGAGTCTTCAACAGGTGAAGCACTAACTGACGTTCTCCTGTCCAAACTGAACGAAATAAACCTGCCAATAGGGAACATGCGAGGATAATGGTACGATAATGGATCAAATATGAGAGGGAAAAACGCTTGGGTTCAAAAAAGAATTTTGGACATCAATCCTCGCGCATTTTTTGTCCCTTGTAGCGCACACACTCTTAACCTGGTCGTCAATGACTCAGCGTTGTCTTGTACCAATGCTGTAAACTTTTTCATGGTTTTACAAGAAATGTATAACTATTTGTCTGCCTCTACCCATCGATGGACTGTTCTAAAAAAACATGTATCTGCTCTGACTGTGAAACCACTCAGCTACACAAGATGGGAAAGTCGCATTGACGCGATCGGACCTGTACGTTACCAAGCTGGTAAAATCTATGATGCACTTCTTGAATTATCCACTGACCCATCAGGTGATGCTTATGCTAAAAGTACAGCCTTAGGTCTGGCTAAGAAGCTGAAGAACTTCAAATTTATTTGCTGTCTGGTGGTTTGGAATACAATTCTCTCGAGCATAAATGTGATCAGTAAACTGCTACAAAAAGAAGATTTTGATATTGCAGCCGCTATGGAACTGATAGCTTCTGTAAGTCCTACTTTAATGAAATAAGAAGTGATAAGGGGTTTGAAGAAATGCTTGTTGATGCTCGAGAAGTAGCAGAAAGCCTTGAAGTTGAACCATCCTTCCCTTCTGAACAACAAGTTCGACCAAGGAGAGTCAAGCGCCAATTTGATGATGAGGTACGAGATGAAGCAGTTGTGGATCCAAAAGTAAACTTCAGAAGTAAATGTTACCTCTACATTTTGGACACAACAATCGCATCACTTGAAGAGAGATTTTCTCAGTTATCCACCCACAATGACACGTTTGGATTTCTTTACAAACTGAAAAGAGAAGACATCAATACTCTAATGACTAAATGTGCAGACCTGCAGATATCTCTAACTGATGGAGAGCACCGTGATGTTGAAGGACACCAGATGTATCAGGAACTCTTAGTGCTCAAAACAGTTCTACCCGACGATTGTGGAGATAAACCAAAGGACATTTTGAAATTTATTTCATCACATTCTTTAAGTGAGAACTTTCCAAACGTTTGTGTAGCTCTAAGAATTCTTCTTTCTCTTCCAGTAAGTGTTGCATCTGGAGAAAGAAGCTTTTCTAAACTTAAGTTAATTAAAAACTACTTAAGATCCACTATGTCCCAAGAACGGCTAGTAGGACTGGCACTTATGTCTATAGAATATGATGTATTACAACGACTTGATTTAAGCAACATCATTAAGGACTTTGCTGAAAAAAAGGCTCGTAAAGTTGCCTTTGTAAACTAGACTTGCAATACTTACAGAAGCCTAACAGACTAAATTACATCATTACATCATTGACACCAGGCTATTGTTCATTGTTCTTTATATAATATTTTTAAATATAATGTAAATATACTTTACGTCCAAACTGTGTCCAAAGTCTTATGTTTCTTTAACTGACACTGTGCAAAATATACAACGCTTATGTAAAAAAATGGCGTTGATTTACTATCCAATTACATTTATATGGTATTACACACTTTTTGTGAGTGTCAAATTGACACCGTCTGTGTGTCATATGCACATACGGTGTCAATATAACACACAGTTGGTGTCCAAATTACACACAGACGGTGTCAATATCATATGACACACACAAAAGATGTTAACATCCTGTGATGTCATGCTGTGTTGATTTAATACGAACATTTTACAGTGGGGCTATCAAAGGTCTTAAAATCAGCAGTTACTCAAAAAGTGTTGCAAACTTAAAAACAGCTGATTGTTGTTGTTTTTATAGGGGTTTTTACTAGGAGGGGGGGGGGCGACTCAAAAGATCATTGCCCGGGTGAAAATTTCGTCTTGAGCCGGGCCTGGAGAAATCACTATGGAAGACAGAAAAATCAGTAACCTGTGGTACATAAATAACACACTTATACTAGGAGCGAATGAAGTCTAAATTACTACAATCACAGAACGGCTAAGCCGGATAAGCAAAGAATTTGGACTTTAGATAGAGATAGAGATATTAGACAGATCAAATAATAGTTATCGCACATACACCAAGTGGCAAATTTCGAAGTAGTAGACAGATTTGTATACTTGAGCTCCCTGATAACCAACAATGGTGATAGCTCCTCAGAAATCAAGCACAGACTAGGAACGGCTTGAACCGCAACAGATAAATTAATTAAAATATGAAAAACCGAACAGTAACGAAAAACACTAAGCTCATGTTGGCCAATGCCCTTATTTTTTCCATTGCTAAATACGCAGCTGAAACATAGACTCTAAAAAAACGATAGAAGTAAGATCATTGCTTTCGAAATATGGGTCGACAGAAGAATTCTACACGTGTTCTGGACAGAACACAGAACCAACCTGTCAATTCTTAAAGAACTTAATATAAAAGACAGGCTATTAAAAAACCGAGCATATCTAAATTACTTTGGCCGGCCACATAGCCAAAGCTGAAAAGGTCAACACCATCTTCATACAGGTAACAAAATTGATTTTGAAAACTCCAAAACCATAGCCCCATCCGCTTCTATAAACCAAGAGTTATCTGAGAAGCCATAGAAATTGAAAAAGGCGGAAATGTCTCAATTAGAGACGACGGCATATGGTTACCTTCAACTTGGAAACCTCTCATAAAGAAACTATCCACATAAGCTACATCACCATAGACCACAGTACCAGTAATGTATTGGTTAGTAATCAGTGTATGGGGGCTTGGGAGACTGAGACCTCGGAATCTGTGAAGAAGACATCGAAGAGGATGTTGACAGCTCGGCGCAATGATAATCGAAGCGGTTCAACCCGAACGACTGTTGAGTTTAATATTAATTTCTCTAATCTAATAGTATTAGTCTTAGCTGTAGGTTTGAACAGCATTTGAAATAGTGGACCAATTTAAAACTTGGACAAAAATAAATCCATACCCGGTGATAGACATTGTATAAAATATCGTTCAACTATCTGTCTCCTTTTAGGACGCACCATAGTCTATAGTGCCGCCCAAAGTAAATGTTGCCAATCGTCGTGTAATAATCCGATTTGCGGATCTTTTTGAGAGTTATATCTTCTTCATATCTTTAAATAAATCGGATATTTGCCTATATTTTTCATTTTATTTACCAATCTACTACAACAGACTAATAACAAAAATAAACTTAATGGTTTGTAGTTATTTCCTTTTTTTCCTGTAAATATTTTATGGTTAACACCTTATTTGATAAACATCTAGAGGAATGAGATTGGCAACACCGCTCAAAATATCCATCTGAATGCTTAGATAAACGAAAGAGGGGCTTGCCTAAGGAAGCGATAGGTGGTTTGACAGCATAATAAAATCCTAGATTTATGTGTAGCTTTCAATTTTTATACGTGATGGGCGGGGCAACCTATTTGGGTGGTGTTTTGACTTGTTCTTGAATGAGTTCAGAATCCAGCAGCCCGCTGAAGTATTGGATTTTTATAATATAATTATTTAACAACCTTTTGTTGGCCAACCACCTAGAGCGGAGTTGAGCCGAAAAACATATATTTCGTATGTTCCGAATTTATCTCGTTCAATTTGTATATAATATATATATATATATATATATATATATATATATATATATATATATATATATATATATATATATAATAAAGTCTTATCTCAGCATATTAACAGAGTGATAAAATATCAAAACTATTTTAGCATAAACAAAGAGTAAAAGTCGGTATTTACTAAAACAACTTGATTTCCAATATTTAAAAAAAAATGTCCAAAATAAACGTCATTTATGATGAGATGAGCAAAATTGTGTATTTTTGCTTCGAATTACCAGACTCTTCCGACGGACGGGACGATAGGAAGTCTAGAATTTATCGGCATATCTGCAAGGTGTTAGTTACTGCCAGGTTTTAAATAGTCTACCACTCGTCACTTTTTCTAATGGGGTTGCTAGTTGCTACTTACCTCGTTTTATGTTTTGCAACGTCCTCAGCTGTATAACTAGGTAACTCTTCATCATATTCACCAAGTACTACTTTACTAGTTGCTTTACCTAAAAATATTTAGATACAATGCTGGTGGTATTCTAGTCTACCCGATAAATTTTTTAGTTTTTTATATCTTATATATAAATAATTATCCAAATAAGTTTAAATGTATTAATAATATTTAACGAATTATGAGGAGCCTTAGAAAAACTGGGAAACATAATTTTTATTTGTTAGGACAGAAATAGGAAATACTGAAAATATAATATCCAAAGAACAGCTCAATAAAACTATTACGCTTATTATTACTATTCAAGATGGTATAAAAGTCAACGGTAAAAGTCTTTATTAGAATTAGAAAGCTAACGTTAAAGTAGAAGATCGGATACTCAAGAAATAGAAATATTTACAATGAAATAGAGGTGCTTCTTTTTACCATTGCTGTTTAATGTTTGTAGTGAAAGTTTGTGCCAGAAAGAAGAAACAGTAATCAACGAGGAAATTAAAAATATCATTGAATACGGGAACCACACAGTATTATTTACATTAACGGAAGAGAACTTATAGTCATTAATTGCATTACATAAAAAAACAGAAAAAGAAAAAAGTGTAAATACAGTCTTAATGTGAATTTTTGTGAACAAAACAGAAACTATCCTAAATTCCCATTAAAAATATATTAGTAAACAATAAACTAATTGAACAAGAAGTGGAAAGCTTGTTTGTTGAAAATACCTCCCTTTTTTAGATACATTAAAATTTAAATAGAGAACAAGAATAGACAAGGCAAGTATAATTTCCTGCAACTAATAATAGAATGAAAAATTTTCCATAAGGCACACGCGGTCGTGGCAAATAACGTACATTTTTTTTTTAGTATCAACGTAGCATAAAAACAATAAGTAGTAAACCTACAACAAATGCTAATAAGGAAAGTCCAAAGAAGTGCAAAATTTGCAGCAGTAATCGCCAGCCAACACTAAGGAGACACCTTCCAAAAACAAGAACCAACATAAAACAAAAAACACTACAAACATTCAATAACGTAGGAAAATAATAAATATCATTAGAAATTCTATTACATACTTACCAAGTAAATAGGTCACCGATCCCACAAAAGCGCCTCCTATAACAAGTGTTTTTAAAAGGGCTGCTCGATCTTTTGTAAATTTATTTGTGTGAAACTGTTTATAATAGTTTTGACTAAAATCATTATTATTTATTCTATTAAAATCATAATCGGGAAACGACTGTCCACATATTAAATTAAGTTTTGATTTGGGAAAACGTTTGCTGGAATTTTTAGGGGCATTAAGATTACCAAATTTCTGTGCAGTTGGACTTGCTTTTTGGTATGTTCGAAATCCCGTTGACAGCCTAAAATAAAATGGAGTTATTTTTAGTTATGAGCACTTTATTGATACCGACCTTCTCAGAGCGCCTTTAAAAAGTTCCATTTTTTAAAACACAAATGAAAAAATAACTTGACATATGTTAAAACATGACAGAAAATATGAAAGTCCTAGATTTACATTTCATTGAAAGTGGATATACAAAGGAGGCGTATTACAAAAAATTGCTTTATGAGATGCATAACATCTTCATCCATCCTTTCAATATGTTGTAAATCTTCATATGTCTTATTTTAAGAACTAGGTACTGCTCTAAAAAATATTATTTTAAATATATATATGCAGTTAATTCAAACTAGTATTTATATATTTTAAACTTTTCTTTTTCTTGTGTGTCCTTTATTAAATATATTTTAGGTCTATAGGCAACCTAGAAATTAAGGCAGAAGATATGGATATGTTTTATGAAAAATGGGAAAGATAAAATAAAAATTTGCCAAAATATTATATAAAATGGTAATACATTGATAGATTTTATTGCAATGACAGGAGAAGATATGAAAGTAAAATAGGAAAACATACAAAAAATGAAGCAACAAATGACAATGAAGAAAGTATAATAAAATTTTTGCAGTAGAGAATGGAATGTGTGTAAAGACTACATAGCTACGTAGGAAAGAATAATATAAGAGGACGTTGATTTTACCTGGCGAAAAAACAACAAATTAGAGTAAAGCCGTAATAAACGAAATAAGAACTATAAATTGTACCTATACGGGTAATTCCAAAATAACTTAAAATGTTGAACCAGACAAATAGAAAGAAATTTTTTTCCTTTCTTGTTAAATTTAGCGATAGACAAAAGTAATTTAATATGAGACCACAAATATAGTATAACCAGTGAGATTTTATAATTTTTGTTTAGTGAAGTTATACTTCTATACGCATGCTCG